AGAATGATCAGATGATATTTTTTCCTCAAAATTCTTGAAATAGGAAACTAATCAGATTGGATTTATATTTCTGAAGAGTGAACAACAAAGGCATAAGAAGTGGTTGTTTTTGGTGCTGCCTGCCCTTCACAATTTAAATACAATAGTTTTAAGAAAAGGTCATAAAGAAGAAGATAATACCTGATGGGTTAGGCGGAGTTGCTCGATAGATGCACCATGACTGGTGAACGGGCGCAAACTTGTCAAAATGCGTCCAAAGTTGAATCCGGAAGCTGCTCACCAGAATCGATGCCTGACGGGCCGGTTTCTTGAACTTCTCCGGTCGCATAGGGGAACAGGCGCCGGTTAAAGCATATGAAACGGCGTTTTTGGGTGGCGTCTGATTTTCAAGGCCGAATGTGAAACGCTCTTGTAAACAATAAATCCACCTCAATGGCATGTCACCTCCATCTCACCTTCCACGTGTCACCCTAACAATGAAATAACCCTACTTTAATTTTTGTTTTGTGAATGTATACTTGGTGACCAAACTATATGAATACTCTAAGGCATATTGTGTAGTGAGTAGAAATAATCATTTTTTAAGTCTCTTATGTAATTTTTTGAATTGTGGATTTCAGATAGATAATAGTGTTTTAGGGTACATTTTTAAGAGCATTCTTTTTTTAATAAAGAAAGGTAGAAGGGTAGAGGAGTAAACGATCCACCCGATGTTTGTTAAGGGAAAAACCTGATGTCCGTTAGGGGAAAGGGGAAAAAGTAAAAGGAAAAAAATTTGAACACTATAACGAAGTCCTTGGTTTGAACGACATTGGAACATGACAGAGCATGCTAAAATATGTAACCCTTTTATTCCTTGATAGAGTAAAGTTTCGAAGGTTATAGTGAAAAAATAAATTCAAAACAACAACTACCATTTGAATTGCTGATTGTATAAACCAAATTTCAAATAATATCAGAAAAATTCAGAAAGTGTATTTTGAAATAATGGTATGGGTGAAAAGTATTTTCAACATAGTCTTTAAGAAATCTTGATAGTATTTAGAACCACAACAAAAAACAAGAAAGTAAAACGCAATTGCCTTAACTCAAAACACGACCTAGAGTCTGGCCTAAAAATTAAAATCCGTTACCCGCAAACCTAACGCAAATTTGATTGTCAAACACTAAAGTTAAAAGTCAACCTAGAACCTAACCCAACACCAAACCAAAAATCAGGTTCAATCCCCAAAGTAAGAAACAAAATCCCTACCCAGAACCTAACCCAACAACCAATTGCAGGGGTGCATTAAGCTATTCCCATGTTTAAAAATTGTGAATAAGTACTATAAAATTGTGAATAAGTATTGTCAAGTGGGAATCTAAGACTTACGATATACAAAGAAATGTGGCACCATATAACAACATGCATTTAAAAACATGCAATTCATAAATCTAAAATTAGCAACTCATAATCGCAAATATCCATGCTCAATATAATGTAATAAATATATTTATACATGAATATGCATCGTATATAAATATGATGAATTTATGTTTTACAATATAATGGAAAAAAATACTGACCTCTTACATAATCCAATATAGAAGACATGGCAGAGAGATAACACGAGTCTATAGATAGAAAAAATCAAAGGAAGTAGTTTGAGCTAAATACATATCTGAATTTGAGTACTCTTGAATACATGGAATTTAAATTACCTGAAGAATAATTTTCCAAACTGTTGCAGGTTCAGCCCTACCTGTACGTGAAAATGACAGTTCTTTCAGTAATAGAGAGAAACAACAAAGAGAAGAACAAGCGAAAGAACTCATAAGATTATACCTAGGAGGAATTTTGGAGATGGTGTCTCATCCCATCTCCCAAAATCGAATATAAATAGCCCAATGTACACGCTGAAATAATTGGCAGGGGATTATTAAGGGAAGGATCCATAAATACAAGACGAGGAATCTGAGAAAACGTTTCAATCATACCGGGAAATCTGCAAGACAGTAAAAAGCAATTCCCTTAACTCAAAACACGACCTAGAGTGTGACCTAAATATTAAGCACCTATTTGTAATAGTGTGGTTTTGATTAGAGTGCAGCAGTTCATATTAAGACAATTCTTTTTTGGGAGATATTTGACAAAAAGAGGAAAACCAATACCGGTACATGGTAAAATTTCCATTTTGTTGATTGGTGGAGGCGTTGAAATTTCCATTTTGTTGAAAGTACCGCCAAGCTCCAGCCAATAAAGAAGACTCGGCATGAACCCTCTCATCAAATAGGACATGAAAGAGGTTAATAAATAGGAAAATCTCTTACCAAGGTAAATATTGTCAAATTGACTCTCCAGCCAAGTATATATGTAATATTTTTCGTTATTGTGTTGTGTTTAAATTTTAACCTGGTGGAACTCATCTACTAAAAAATAAATTTTCTACTATGTTTCTTGACCTTTTGGCTAAGATCATCAAAAACGTCTAATTGATCCTAGTGAGACTGTTCCACAATAAAATGTTTTAGTCTACAAATACATTATATGTATATATAATGTTTTTGGTCTTGGGTGATTGATTTGTTTTGTTCAAAGTTTCACATGGCGGATGTGAGCGATGAAGGTAGTGGTTATATAACAGCATCGAGAAGCTCGAGCCTAAATATTCGTCTTAGATTGTATTTCAATTGTTTGGAGCTTCAAATTATATAGATCTAAGAGGTAAAATCATTTCATAATTTAAAATAAAATAATATAATCGATATAGTACATTTTTTTTGATATTTTAATTTTACTTAAAGAAAAATGCAAGTGTTAATATGAACTTAAAATTTGTTTAAAATCAAAGTCATAACCCGTTGGGTCGACCCAAACCGAATGATAATGGTGATGAACATATAGTTCTCTACTTAAACCCGCATTGACCAGAACAAGAAGTAGTATGAGCCCGAAGGAACCTGAAATTTTTAAAAAATGAAGTCATAAGTTGTTGGGCCAACCCAGAGTCCGAGACCCAATTATAAGAAGAGGCTGTGGTGTTAATATTCCTTACCTTACGTCTTATTCAAGTGAATATGATGATCTTGCAAACATGTAACCTGTTTTACATTATGACAAGTCAAACAAAGCTAATACTTTGAAGATTTTTCAACTAAACAAACCATTTGAACACAACACCATTGACAAATCTTCAAAGAAAAAGTGTATAAATATTTTTTAAAAAATCAGACTTTGAACTGTTTGCTAATGCCTAATGGTTCACTCAAAGTGCTGGTTCAGCAATGAAAAGTGCACATTTACTCCCTCCTTTCAACATCCTCTCCCTCTACTGCGCTGCCTCTTGCTGAATCCCGACACAACAGAACAAGTGTGGTAATTTCACTCTGCCACAAACCCTACTAAATTACATAATGTGTTTGAGAGTTTATAGGCATACTTCCAAGTAGGGGTGAGTTTTGGATACATATCACCCTCTCCAAACCCAACTTTCGTGGGGTTTTACTGGGATTGTCGTTCTTTTTTATGGCAGTGGGCATTCAAGTTTGGGTGCAATGAGATATTGAAAGTACTTATCAGAGGTTGAGGTTTCAATGCCTTTGGTCCATTTCGTATCCCCACTCTTGTGACGAATAACCTGCGATTCATTGGCAATAGCTTTGGAGTAAGTCTGGTGACGAGTAACCTGCTTTAGCAATTTGAAAAAGTTATGTAAGTGTACTTTTAGGGATGGCCATTAGTTCCATAGACCCATTGAAGAAAGTGATATCTTGGAATCTGTAAGCAATGTTCCCTTCAATCTTTTCCTGATTTTCAGAGCCATTACATCAAATAATACAAAATGGCGATTGATAGATTCGTTACAGACCTGTAATGTGGTAGGACTGAGAAGTAGACACCTGTGAGTAACGGTCACCCTTTTACCGAACTACAGGGACAGAGCAAACCTTTATGGATGTTTGTGCAAAGTTTTTGTAGCCCAAGGATGAATTCTGGCCAGCTTTTGAGTCTAAAAATCTGTAGCACATGGCACACCTCTCATTTTTCAGTTTCAAACAGGATTGCAAAGACGTAAAAAACAGGCCATAATTTAAAACTGCTAAAAAAATGTATTCTTTATAGTCACAAGCTTGCAAGTTATTATGCAGAATGTTCAAAGGAAGTAATTTGAGCAGAATACACATCTGAATTTGAGCACTCTTGAATACATGGAATTTAAATTACCTGAAGAATAATTTACCAAACTGTTGCAGGTTCAGCCCTAGGTCAAAAATGACCCTTCGTTCAGTAAAAGAAAGAAACAACAAAGAGAAGAACAAGCCAAAGAACTCATAAGATTATACCTAGGTGGAATCCCTGAGATGGTGTCTCATCCCATCTCCCAAAATTGAATATAAATAGCCCAACATACACGCTGAAAAAATTGGCAGGGGATTATTAAGGGAAGGATCCATAAACTCAAGACGAGCAATCAGAGAAAACGTTTCAATCATACCGGGAAATCTGCACATCTGATACGCAACGCCTAGAATCTGGAAATCTGAGGTTAATAGCATTTAGAACCACAACAATTTGATAGTATTTAGATCCACAACAAAAAACTAGACAGTAAAACGCAATTGCCTTAACTCAAAACACGACCTAGAGTCTGACCTAAAAATTAAAATCCAACGGATTGTAACGCAAATTTGATTGTCAAACACTAAAGTTAAAAGTCAACCTAGAACCTAACCCAAAACCAAACCCAAAATCAGGTCCAATCCCCAAAGTAAGAAACAAAATCCCTACCCAGAACCTAACCCAACAACCAATTGCAGGGGTGCATTAAGCTATTCCCATGTTTAAAAATTGTGAATAAGTACAAAAGGAATGAACATGACATTAACAGGCTTTAAGAATGAAGACCAACCATTGTGTGTGGCGTTTGACAGGGTAAATATAGCCGCTTTAG